TGGAGTCATTTTTCAAACAAGAAATAGTAAAACTGGAGACCAATAAAACGGCAGAGCAAACTCAATGCAGGTTCTGTACAAGCTTTATTTCTGAGCACACAGGGATCCATCCTAATACATGGACTAGATCAATAACTGCTGATGCATCAACACAAAGCGGAGAAACGGAAAACTGCTAAATAATAATAATCCTTATATTTATTATAGTGCTTTATCAAAGACTCTCAAAGCGCTTTACAAATACACATTACACATACAGATCATACATGTAATGGTCATCTACTGTGGACAATACCCACAGGAGCAAATTCAGGTGAAGTGTCTTGCCCAAGGACACAACGGCCTGACGCAGTGGGGCGGGAGCGGGTTTCAAACTGGAGTTCCCCAACACCCCCTTGATCTGATGATCAAACACAGACCACTGCGCCACCCGTCCCAAATGAAACGCTTACAGCAACACCTATCACAGCGAATATAAATCACACATTATATTCTAGCAGGTTGATGGCATGTGAAAGCTATGAGTTGGCAATATACTTGATACACTTGTGGCATTTACACTGTTGGAAAATATATAATGTTTTTTGTCTGTAGAGCCTTTTTTTAAAAAGGATTTGAAATACATTAGAAATAAAAATATATAACCGACAAGCAATCAACACAAAGAATAAAAACGAGTTTATCCGGATGAGTTTAAATCATTATGGCTTGTTTATATATGTATATATTCAAAGCAGCAGACGTGCAGATTCATATATTCTATTGTGCTAACAAATGTAGTTTTGCAAGAAGAAAGGAAAATATTTTACACATGTATTACAATAATTTATCTTATTGCGTTGTGTGTATTTTCTTAAACATATTCGCAATCTGAATACATCTTGACATTTAATGTGCACTGATGAATTAAACTCCCTGATCAAAACAAACAGGAATTGTGATTTAACCTCCAGAGCTCAGAGACTGCTTCACCATGAAGGAGCTTTAGTCTCTTCAACACTGTCTGAACTGCCCTGTTTACTGAAGCCTAGCGTGTGCATCTGAGTTACAGTGAGGCGTGTGCATCTCAATGTGTGTGTGTGAGTGTGTGTGAGTGTGTGTGTGTGTGTGAGTGTGTGTGTGTGTGTGTGTGGGCTTCTGTGTAGCTTCTTAGGCACTCTTTCCAAGAAAATTAAAACATCCCAGTGACTGTGAGGACCTCGCAGACCGTTAAGAGTCCGTCAGAGGTTCTTCCACTTCTCATCACCGTGCGGGGACCTGCTGATACAAAACAGCTGCATGCTGAGTCAGCACTGCAACACTGACCTGCAGAGGGAGGAAACACACACTGGGTTAGACACACACACACACACACACACACACACGCAATGAGCTGACATTTACACAAAACATGCACAGGACCTTCACATATTGACATTCAGAATGAAATGGTGCACACTCATGGCTGTTTGGATCTATTATGACTGAAGTTGGGAAATTATGTGACATTAGAACTCCATTTACTGAATAAAGGGTCTCAGTTTTCATAATAATATATAAGAAGAGGCTTAATTCTTCTATATAATAAAGCTTATAGTAAGAGCAGGCTTGCCATGAACATCCTCCTGGGTCCGATATTCCATTTCGTTTTTTCTAATTGTATGAGTATTTTCTTTTCTTTCTTTCTTATTTTATTTTGTTCTTATTGTTTTAACTTTTTTCTTATTTATTTGAATTGTATTTAATTATAATGTATTTAAATGTATTTTATTGTATTCCACTCTCATTCATGTTTGCTGATATGAACAAACTGTAAAGCCCCTTGAGACAATGTGTTATTGGGCTATATCAAAACCATTCGAGTTGATTTCATTAAAGACATATTCGACCGATCACAGTAGGAAAACCACAGGTGTAAATATTACAATAAATGATGGCGGAGTGACATGAGGCCGTTTCAGCGTCACACTGCTCTGGAAATCTTGTTTATGTTATCAATGTCACCAGCGGGCCACGTTTGTTTGACTTAGGATAGTTACTTGATCAAATAGAGATTCAAATATAGCTGCAATGTATTTGTATGTCATGAATATGTATTACTTGAACCTACCAGGTAAAATGTCTCCAGGGAAACGTCAAGCAGCCTTCACATGACGGAGCAAACTCCAGTCTGCACCGTCTTAGCTATACGGCTTTTAGCGTAGCTGGAATTAGAAGAGAGAAGTTTAATCAAGATTCAAGGATTCAAGGCTTTTATTGTCATGTGTGCATACAGTAGCTACAGTGTAGTTATGACAAGGTCTTAGGACACAGGCTCCTCCCACAGTGCCACACAATAACACAGATAAAATAGTGCAAGTAAATAAAATGAAATAGAATACAGTAGAAACAGTGCAGAATAGTCTATATACAAGTAATTGGAATATTGATATATTTAAGTTGCAAACAGATGTTATGGATGTTTTTTCTAAAGTTCAGTTTAAAGACCTATCTTTTTAATATGGCTTTTAATTTGGGTTAA